CTAACATTTTTAATATTATATAAAAATCAATATTTTATATTTAAAGTGAACTACACCTTTTGTTTTCGGAAAAGGTAGAGTAATTTAGATTCAAAACCGCATCGATCTCACGACGAGAAACTACAACCAGAACTGTTATATTGTGGTACGTACACATGACATATATTTTCATACATAAATAAAACGATATATATATAAATTAAAGTATAAATGTTAAATATATAAATACATTGAAAATATCAAAGAGAAAATCTAAGATGAAGAGTTATAATGACAATTTTTACGAGAAAATATTATGTATGTACAGTGGATGGGGAGACCACGCCATCATAAATTCACTCGTATATATGAAGTGCCCTCCTTATCCACCCATCCCCATAAATTTCTCCAATTTTACAAACTATTTGGTTTGCTACAAGGCAAAAATGATATAAATTAAATTCCAGTGATGAATATAATCGTTTCACTTGCAATTTAAAAAAAAAAATCAAACATAAATTAACTGATAAAATTTATGTGGATTTAATTTACAAATAAATCCATTGACTTTTAAACTCATCTTCATACATTCTTTTTCAGATAAATGAATTTGAAAAAGAAAGAAGAATATTAACTAAATCAAACTTAAAAAAAGACTAAATAGAGTTTGCTTCCTGTCTTTTTTAACAAAACAAAACAAATTATGAGCTAATAATTATTTTTTGTCAAATCAAACAAAAAAATAAATAGAATTTATTTTCTACATATTTCCATAAAAACAGAAATAAAAGCTAAAGAAAAGGGGACGAGGGATCGATGATGAATCACTACCTGAAGCAAGCAACAAAATAAGGACTCGTTTAGGACAGCTTATTTGGTGCTGTGGCGTTTTGAAAATGCACCTGTTCCGTTTGGGTAAACCACATTTTGGCAGCTTATGCGTTTTCAAAAAGAAGAAAACATCGTTTCACACCGCACCTATCTAGGTGGGGTGTGAGCTTATTGACAATGGTCTGACCTTTTCAAAAAAATGAAAATTTGTAATAACCACCACACCTAGCTTATCAACAGCTTATCAACATATTATTTTTAACAGCTTATCAACATATTATTCAATAAGCTACACCTGCCCCCACACAGACCATAAGTCATAAATTATAACCCATAAGATAAACTATTTAGCACTTGGTTTTAGGGGTCGAATCAACTTTTTTTTTAAGAAAGGGAAAGAATTGGGTTAACAAAAAGACAAAGTGATCTTTTAGAAGGGGTAAAACTAATATTTCAAGGTGAAAAATACCAAATTGCTTTCTCATATAATTAAATATCTGAATTTAATGAGGGCAGTTTGTTTCGTTGCCCTGAAATTTGTAAAATTAAATTAAGTGTCTTAATAATCTCAAAATTGAGTGATCTTGAACTCGTTGAGTTTTTAATATCGAGACGCTCGATTTAACTGTTAGCATGTCAAATTTGAAGATCATTTAAACGCTTGATCTAATCTCATTTGGACTTGGATTGAATCACTTTTAATATCATTGTGTTCATATGATTAAGGTTTTAAATTTGACTATAAAATTATTGAAATCAAAGTTAGAATGATCTCTTTTCTAAAATCTTTCTTATCAAACACATCAAATTTCGTGATTGATCATATGAATTTTTATACATATTAATTGCCACGCACTATTCGAATGTTGTTGCAGTATGCGTATTATCAAGCGCTTGAGGGCATGTCGATAGGCATCCACGTGCGTGGTCTTGGAGTGATGTGTGAGTGCGTAGCGGCATTAGTGCGCACGCGTGCGTGCGTAGCGATGGTGTGCAAGCAGTTTTAACATATTTAATTTACAATGTATTTGAATTGCATGTAAATATCTCTAATATTTGCAACAAAGTAACCCCGAAATCGCCAATAAAACCAGCCATTTTTGTCACATTAAGCAACTAAAGGATCAGTTTCTACATGTATATTGATTTGAAAAATCTAGGCGATATAAATGTAGAAATAAAATTCAAGTGTTAGATATAAAATAACACAGGAATTGGGTGGATGGTATATGTAAATGCCACATAAGAATAATAATTTCTTACATGCAAGGTGGAAATAGCTTCTCAAGGTTCAGTACACGCGAGCATAAAGAAGCAGCTGGGATGGGTAAAATATTAGGTGCGTGTAACGCACCTACAAACAATGAATAAGAGGAGAGAGCGTGCATACAGGCATGCTCTCCTCTTATTCATTGTCCATAGATGCATTGAATGCGGAAGTTTCACTAATAATAATAATAATAAAGCAGCCTAACAAACAAGAGACAGGATAGTTTCTAAAATCCTAAAAGGAGCTTGTTCCCATTTTACACCAGTTAGCATCTCCTTGCTTCATTATTAGTCTTTTCTAAAAGAAAAATAAAATAATATAGAGAGCAAGGGATACAGATACCTACTGCTATTACAAATCAAGCCATACTATAATTCAAAAAAACTCACCAGACATGCACAAGCTATTTAACAGGACAGAAAACATTCATTCATCCAGCCAAATCTTTTTCACCATCTTTTGGATTTATCTTCACCTTAGATCGATATTAGCAGATAATGCCTTTTTCAAGGTAGCTTTTTGGCCTATAAATCAACAATGTTATATGGTTAATGTTTCACCATAGAAGCAATTTGAACGGAAAGCGGAAACAGATTAGCTGATAATGAATGATACAATATAAATGTTAATTATGAGACAGAAATAGTTTCATGATAAACATTAGTGATCCAAAGTGGTCATCAGTTTGATCGGAAAAACTGAAGTAAAAGATCAAACCGAGTACCAGATAAGTGGTGCATTTAAGATCCATTTGGGATCATTTTTTTATTTTTATTTTATTTTGTTTATATTTTAATCTGAAATAAAATATATTTGATATGTTATAGCAGGTTTAATTATTTTCAAAAACACTCAAAATAATTTTTAGATACTTTGAGTATTCTTAAAATAAGTTTATTTATTTTAAAACAAAAAAAAAACATACAAAAAAAAAGTAATGAACAAACATGCTTAAAAAAGAAAAAAAAAAGGATCCCAAATAAGCCCTTAAATTTTCACAATCAAACCGTAGACATTTTCTATAGGAGGGCTAAGAAGGCTCGGATAATCTTACGCTGTGTGACGTGATCATGAAAGCCGGGGATGTGCAATTGGGCGTTAGATTTATTCATCAAAATGTAGAATCAAAATTGCCAAATTATCCCACTCTCCACCAATTATTCAGGAAAAACCAAACTGTTAAAAATATTTGATTGATTCGTTGATAATTTTGGTTTAGATTAAATGAGGCAATGTAAGTTTACAAATGATGCCACATAAAATTTTAAAATTAATATTAACTCTCTTTCATGCTGAAATTAGCGAAGGTAGGGGGAGCTCGCAGTGAAACAAAAATCTTGCACGCACGCATAGGTAAGTTTTGAAAACGGAAAAGAAAAAAAAATCACATAGCTAAACATGTATGTAATGATTCCAATAGCATGAATAATATGTTACAAATGATGTCCTCTACATAACTGGAGAAGGCATATGTGCCACCTTATCTATGCATGAGAAGCTATATTTCATATTATAAAGGTTAAAATAACAACATTTTTTATGTTATATGAAAGGTTTGGGTAGTATAAATGTAGAAAGCAAAGCTTAGGTGTTAGATATGTAAATGCATAGGAATTTGGTGGTAGATATGTAAATGCCTCAAATTATTGGACAAAAAAACAAAAGCTCAAACAATTATACATCAAACATAATCAAAAGTAGGTGGAAAAAAAAAGAAAATATTACCAGAAAACGTGGTGAGCGTCGAAAAGTTGAGACAGATTGCGGTGTTAAAATTGCCGTTGAAGTGGGAACAACATCATGAAGGCAACCAGCCTGATGCTTTTTAGATTGCAAAGATCGATTATTTTCAATAGACATTTCGGTCTGACTATCCATTGAATTCGAAGGGGGTGCTGACATAGCATTTGAATGCGTGTCTGAATCATAAGGTTGTCAGTAAAACTCACGGTAGAAAGAAGAAACACTAGCTCAAAAAGGCATACAAAATTGCACATTTCATAGGAGAAGCCCTTAAAATAAGTACGTTTTTGTGCTGTGTGCAAAGCCGATCAATCAAGTTTTCAGAATTGACAAAACAGCATTTAAAACTTATCCCTTAATTCCTGTATCTTACTTCGATATACTTAATCATTAGCTTTCTCCAAATTAATGGAATTCGTTGTATTTGTTTGCTTATATATATATGAATTATTTG